CACCAAACCAGGCTATACGTAGGTAGTAATTATTGGAGCAAGATTTTATGTTAGCAGAAATGATATTAATTTTTATTAAAGTTAAGGAGTAATTTTAAGGAATGGGTTTATTATCCACAATCTTTATTATTATAAAAAGCATATTTAATATAGATTAGAAAAGACAATTAATTACATAGAGTTGTTGTTGACAGTATGCTATTAATTATCGAAAAAGTTTATTAATAAAATGTAATTTATGTATTTTTATTGTAATTTCAAGCAGTTATTTAAATTATAATATTATTGTGTTATCCATCGGCGTTTTATATACGAATAGATTATATGAAATCGTTTAATTTAAATGAATGTTTAGGGTTTAATTAGTTTATTAGTGGGTTAAGTTTTTAGTGTGGAATGTAGTGAGTGCGGTGCATTGAGGTAGAACTTACTGAGCCTGTGTTTGGTTTGCGCTTCTCGTGTACTTTCCCAGTGCAGCAGCCGATACCAGGACACCCCCTGCAGTTCGCTGCGCGGAAATCCGAGGTAGAACTCTCCACTGCAAATATAAACGAATACAAGCGTGATTTACGAACATGGATGTCACCGGCATATCCTTCGACCCGGTGACCTGTTCGGGCTACGCTCACGAACAGCCCTTGATTTATTGGCCATTCGAACAAAGCGTTACCATTATACACTGCTGATATTGCTCCTACTATCATACAATATATGTGTACATAACATATTAAGCAAAAATAGTAGCAGGCCTACTTCGGATGTTAAACATACACGGTGGCCCGAAATGTTCTCTTATCTTGACATTAGCAAAAGAAATTTTACCGGGAATTTACTATACTGTTATCGACCTGTAAAAAATATTGGTAAATACCTCTTTCTATTTTTAGCAGCAAATGTGTATTTCAAATTTTTACCTGCTTGTCTTCCACTTCGTTCACTTAACACCGAAAAAAAATCTTTTAACTAAACACAATGTCATTTTCCGAAAAACAAAAACCACGTCCAGATTTTTTCCCAATTCTCGCTTTTTATCTGCTATATAAGGATTAAAATGTATTTTTCTTATTGATTTGGTATTGATTATTCACATTGGTGCTAATTATAGCAAACGTCAGGTGAAATAAAACGCACATTTAATGCAGGCTACGTCAATTCTATCAGTGAAACTCCTAATTATAAGTTTAGGAAAATTGTTGCATCAATAATTTTTTAATGCATTTTTGGTTTGTCGAGAACTAAGAATAATGTTTCATCGTTCTCCATAGTGCCATTATTTAAAAGATATATTTTCACAGTTCCCTAATTAGGGTCAGTTGCAATTGATCTACGTCGGTCGATCCTAATTTTACTTATTCCTAAAGTTGTCACACCAAAAGTTACTTAAATCGTTTCTGATCTTGCAAAAAATTACAAAAAAAACAATAATAATCGTAACAACAACTGCTTGCCACTGGTTTAGTGCCTTTTTAGTAGCTTATTTTTTGGTAACGAAAAAAACCTTTAAATGAAGGGCAATTTTATTTGTACTTTTTCCTATCGCTGTCACACTAAAAGTTACTTAAATGGTTTTTGATTTTTACGAAAAATTTAATAGAAAAGAAAAATAATCGTTAGAACAAAATTTTGCTTTTGGTTTGGTGTATTTTGGTAAACACCTCTTTCTATTTTCAGCAGCAAGTTTTTCAAACTTTAACCTGCTTGTCTTCCATTTCGTTCAGTTAACACCGAAAAAAAATTCTTTTAACTAAACACGTCGTTTTCCGAAAAACAAAAACCACGTCCAGATTTTTTCCCAATTTTTGCTTTTTCTCTACTAAATAAGGATTAAAATTATCTTTCTTATTGATTTGGTATTGACTATTGATATTAGTGTTAATTACGGCAAACGTCAGGTGAAGTATATACGCACATTTAATTTAATCATTACAAATTTAGGAAAATTGTTTGACATTTGTTACATCAAAAATTTTTTAATGCATTTTTCATTTGTCCAGAACTAAGTAGTGTTTCGTCGTTGGCCTTAGTGCCATTATTTTAGAGATATATATTTACAGTTACCCAATTTTGTATTTCTTCCTATCGTTGTGACACTAAAGGTTACTTAAATCGTTTTTGATTTTTGCATTAAATTAAAAATTTGAACAATCGTAAGAACAAATGCTCGCCCTTGGTTTTTTTGGGAACGAAAAAGACCTTTAAATGCAGGGCGATCTTATTTGTACCTCTTCGCATCGTTGTCACAGTAAAAGTTACTTGAATGGTTTGATTTTTGCGAAAATTTTAATGAAAAAAAAAAAAAAATAATCGTAAGAACAAAATCTTGCCTTTGGAACCAAAAGGATCTTTGTGGGATGCGCATGTTTCAGTTCAGGGCACGAATGCGAGGTTTTCGTAAGGTATAAAACGTTAGAATTAATAAGGTCCATAAAGATCGAGATGAGGGTGGATTATAAAGGTGACTTACTTGTTATCGGTGTGTATGAATCTCATGTCCATGGAATGTATGGTGGTGAAAACGTTGGTGGCTCCTTGGACGACGCATTCCCGGGTCTCGGGCATAGCAACGGGTGTGCAGGTGGCCAAGAAAACGGGCTCATTGCGGCTACAGAGAGGCAGGAAGGACAAGTAGCGGCCCTGCACCAGAACCACCTGCACGCGATAAGAAAACAGTGGCGCTTTGGTATTCCAATGAGGGAATTTCCATAGACCGCGCTTTACAGTGGGCGTCATAACATACGGCAGTAGTGCTTGCTCCGCAACTACTTTACATATTACCCATATAATGTGTTATGTAGCACCGCGCGAACCTTCTAACTACCACGAGGTGGTCCTATAACTGCGGGGTGGCTAATTTACAACTACCCAATTAATCCGACACTTAACTGATTTTGTTAAAGACCCGTTACCTCGCTCTGCGCACATTAAAAACAATCCTAATTAAGGATCTAATAAAGTATTTCCTTTTACATTTAAAAAAATTGTGGTTTAAGGGAACCTACATGGGTAGCTAAACCTACAGAAAATCGTGACTTTTTCTAAAGCTATAAACTGAAAAGTTTTGGGAATCCCACATAAATTGAATTAATTTCACATTAAAAATTATTAATCGCTATTAACAATACGTCTGTTTTTCAATTATTTTAGTTTTAGTAAAGATACCGTGTTTTGAATTATCGAAGTTCTACTGTAATATTTACCTAATGCATTGTTTCGCGTAGGTATATAAATTACCTACAAGAGAAATTGAACTTTTCGATCAAAGAGTAAATCCTAAAGACGACCCTGCACTTTGAATTTTTTTATAGAATCCGCGTGAATGCCTTGTGTGTTGGAACATACCAATGCCGGATCTGCCTTTCACTGTGAAATAACTTGCCGAGTTGTACCCCTCCTTGCTCCTTACGGCAGCGATGATCCCACCCACACGTAACATAGTTACCATGTATATAGCGAAATCTAAATACAACTAGCACATTTGCAATGTTACGTGTATTACTGTTTATTATTGCTAAGAGCTGCTACGGTAGTTTATATTCCTTCGCAAATATCGACTACAAGAAGGTTGTAACACTTCCACACATCAACCTTCGGTAATTACTAAAAAATTTTAATTGCCACCATAAAAGATAAATCGGCAATAGACTTTGAGATATCAACGATATAGTCGACGACAAACCCAACATTTTTTACACAATTATTACGCTACCAGCAACAGTGAACAATTTCAAAAATCAAGTCGAATTTAATCTTATTCGATAACGATTTGAAGAATTAGAAACCCTGTTGCAGTTAGATTAAAGTCCTTTAATTCCACAGTGTGTAAATGTCATTGACAAAAGAGTATTGTACGAAAATAAATAAAAGTAATAGAAAAATACTAGTATGTAAGGGAAGAAAAAGTAGGGAGAGGGAGAATATAAAGATAGAAGACGAAAAATTAAAAGAAGTAACCGATTTTCGGTATCTATGAAGTCGGATAACTCAAATGAGTAAAAGTTGTTCAAAATCCCAATTTCAATTTTATATTCTATACAGAGTGTTTGAAAAAATCAAAAATCCTATTTCACGTCAGTTAAATGTAATACACTTTGAATTCCACGGTTGAAAATCTTACAAGAAAATGTTCAAAATCCCAAAACATGAGCCTGTTAGAATTTTAATCACGACTTTCTCTAAATTTCAAGTCTTGGCGCAAAAAATTCAATGTGTCATCCCTCAAAATTGACTGTACTTTACAGCAAAAGTTGTGAGTACCTGTTAGTGATTTTAAATCAGAAAAATCTTATACTGTATATATAGTGTTTGAAAAATTAAGAATTCTATTTCAATTAACTGTAATGTCATTTAAATTCTATTATTAAAAAAAAACCATAAGAAAATGTAGTTCAAAGTCCCAAAAAACGAACCTTAAAAAGGTGACCTTGGCTCTTGTGTCTTCCAACAAAGATGAAGACTTTTGCATTTGAGAAAATTACAGAGCTTGTGTCAGAAATATTTTAATCAATTTCGAGTTCCTACTGCCGTATTAGTTATGATTTCCGCAGTACAAAACAACTAAAGGTTTTTACCTTTTGATCGCCGAATCGCATTTGTCTTCTTGCATTTCTAGACACGTTCATTCTACACAAAAACACTCTAATTTCTTCGCTAGAATTTCCATTACCGGCTGAATTAACTGGTCGACCGAGTTCGCACTGAATGGCTTGATGATCTTGCTTATCAATTATATCATAAACACTGTCTCCGTGAATCAAGAGGTCCTCCTATAGATCAAATCAACAAACAATACCACAATGAAGCGCTAAACGCAAATAAACAAAAAACATCTTTTCATTATATATGTATGTAATAAATTAGAATTTACTATGGGGGATTCCCATGCTAGTGCTATGCGAAAAAAAATAATACTAGCATAGAAGAATACGCTTAAAATACCATAACCCAGTATCATAATAACTATGGTATTTGACGTTCTCTGATATACCCAGGTATTTGTTGGAAAATAGAAACGAATAAGAACAAATAAATGTATTACATTTTATTGTGCCCAAAAGTCACAATAATGCGAATGAATGATTATAAAAATGTATTACATTTTTAAAGTGAAATAATAAATTTAATAAATTAGCGAAATAAAATTAAGAAAGCTCACTCTTAAGCTTGAAAGCTAAAGGGCTAGCTCACCTTTAAAACACTCACCATCGAATGACCCAGGTACTCCGCTGCATTGTCAGAGATATAAAGAAGTTTGCCATTTTGTGTCATCATCATTAGAAATCCACTAAGTGCCTGAAAAAAATAGTCTAATAAGGAATAACATTTTGATTTTTTTTTTTGAAATTTAAAAATAAAAACTTTGATTATTATCATTAGAAACATCGTGTTAATAATTCTAAAATTGTACATATACATGAGTAAGTAAAGTACATAAGCACGTCCAAACACTGGGTATATCTACACATTTTTTTTTATGTGTACAATCCAATTTAAATAAAACGAATAAACGTTTCCAAGAGCCCGGCATTTTTATCAGAATATCTTTCAAGTCTAGAACGAGCTATGTTTTTAGCAGGAATTATCGAACACATCAAAAGTCGAAGCAATCGAGTGTTTTAAGTGTAGAGGACCTTGTTTGAAAAGACACTGAAGGTAACAGAACAGAGAATTGAAAAAAATTACACAACAAAGTTCAGATTTTATCGAATTATATTGCAATAGACAACTACGGTCTCGAAGAATAAAATGTAGAACGAATTTAAAAAACGCCCACGCTTAATCGATGATTTCAAGGAAGTCGAATGCTACATCGATTTATGTTTCTATATACATTTAAAAAGCATAATTTAAACTACCGTAATTCATACAGATTTTGCTGTTAACATATCTTCAAACAGGACAGGACAAGAATAAAAGGTATATTATATGAAGACATGATCAACACTCTCATACTTCATTAGCACTTAATTTTGAAACGAATAGACGTATTGTATAAATTGAATCTTTTAGATTTTATCCTGGTGAAAATCCATAATCAAAGGGTAGATTTTCCTATCTGTTAAGACTCTTTTTCTCAGAAACACGTTAAACTTAAAATAATATGAAATACCTAGATTTATAATCCCTTGGAGTTGTGAAAAAATTTGTCAAGAAGCAAAGTCTTATACTACAAGTCAAGGGAAAATCCGAAAACCGCAAATTTGTAGTTACATTACCAAAAAAATGTTTTTTTTTTGGGGGAAACCTTCTAGCCTAAATACTCGTAATGGAAGAACTAGTTACATACAGTACCTACGAATTGAACGAAAATCCCCTTTCCAAAAGTTCGCTCCAAATTCCCTAGGTCTAGAGAAATATCCCTAGGTCTGGAACACTTATTTTTTGGTGGAGGTAATTACCCAGATGGTGCGAGAAAAATGTAATGAAAAATGGTCGGTACGGATGAAATTCCGGGAAATACTATGGCCGCTTGTTGCTGTATTCCGCGTAAATTAAAAGCAGTAAATGCAGACCTGATTACATATCTTAATTTTCTCCATAAGTTTCCCATACGTGGCAATGAACAAGAAAGCAGCTTGCGTAGTACCAGCAAAGCTTCGCTAAATAATGTGACCAGCGTGTAATATATCCTTTAATGATGCTCTATCAGAAGCAGCAATCTCAAAACTAAGGCGCTGTGTTAATTTTTTTTTCGACATAAATAAATTAAAAACCTAGCGCACTTTAAAAATGTCTCGCCGCTCGAAACAAGGGGGAGTGTCTCAGGGGGATACTCACTCGGAATTTAAAACACGTTCAACCACGCAGGAGATCAACACTTTTTTGTTACCTCTGGGAAATTATTAATAATATAACAATTACGAATGGCGTTTCTTTAACGGATTGACTGTGGATGATTCGGGACAGACCCATTTTCATTTATAAATAAAAGGACATTAATTTGTTGTGACGTATATCATCTACAAAAGAGATAAATATTATTTGGACACTCGCTAGGGGGTCACACATCCAAAGCGCCCTCGCTAATGATGCAGTGAAAAGCTTAAATTCCTTGAACGTTACTTTAACTCCTTAATACAGCCCCTCCCTCAAAACCCCGTGAAATTTAACTAATTCAAAGAAATCTGAGACTTTTATTGAGAAAGTCTTTATAAATTGATAAATATTATTTGGACACTCGCTAGGGGGTGACACATTCAAAGCGCCCTCGCTGATAAAGCAGTAAAAAACATAAATTCATCGAACGTTACTTTAACTCCTTAATACCCCCCCAACCCCCCGTGAAATTTCACTAATTCAAACAAATCTGAGTGTTTTATTGAGAAAGTCTTTATAAATTGATAAATATCATTTGGACACTCGCTAAGGGGTCACACATTCAAATCGTTCTCGCTACAAAAACTTAAATTCGTCGAACGTTACTTTAACTAATTAATACCCCCCAAACCCCTGTGAAATTTCACTAATTCAAACAAATCTGAGTCTTTTATTGAGAAAGTCTTTATAAATTGATAAATATCATTTGGACACTCGCTAGGGGGTGACACATTCAAAGCGCCCTCGCTGATAATGCAGTAAAAAACTTAAATTCGTCGAACGTTACTTTAACTCCTTAATACCCCCCCAACCCCCCGTGAAATTTCACTAATTTAAACAAATCTGAGTCTTTTATTGAGAAAGTCTTTATAAATTGATAAATATCATTTGCACACTCGCTAGGGGGTGACACATTCAAAGCGCCCTCGTTGATAATGCAGTAAAAAACTTAAATTCGTCGAACGTTACTTTAACTCCTTAATACCCCCCAACCCCCCGTGAAATTATTTTACTAATTCAAACAAATCTGAGTCTTTTATTGAGAAAGTCTTTATAAATTGATAAATATCATTTGCACACTCGCTATAAAAAAATAAAGATCAGTTTTGTGTTACGTTCATTTAGTACCAGCAAAAAGTAGGTTACATGATAAGGAAACACTACGTGATCCGTTAGGGGGGGAGGAGGGAGTCTTAAAAAATACCATTCTTGGTGACAAGGGTAGGTGAGCTTAGGTTTTCGTCACGTAGTCAATATCCCCAAGGAAAATCACGCGCTTTTTTGAGCGATACTCAAAATTTTTTGTTTGCAAAAAAATGATTTAAAACTATATTTATGAATTACTACGAGTAAACTAGAAGGGGAGGGGTGTTTTGACATATACCCCCTAGGGGAGGGTGTAAAAAACTGTAAAATATGTGTCAAGTAGGACGGGTTCGTTCCCTAATATGTTTTCAAATAAATAATCTTTAAAATAATAATCTCAAGTAGTCGTGAAAAGTCAATATTTTCAGTACAGAGTTTGAGATAGAAAATTTTATTTTTAATTTTTTGTATTATGTTATACTATTTTTTTAAAGTTTGTGACCACCCTGATGTTGTTGTTTTATCACTAAAGTAATAGTGTTTTTGGATAAATGAATTTTATTTATTGTTAACACGTCGACAAAGCATTTACTTTCCATACGATAACACGATAATGTTGTCACGAAGCGATAAACTAAATTCGAAATTGCCTACGCTTTTACAATTTCCGAAATTTTCCTTTTACATGACATAGGCTTTCATGTCGGTCAGTAAAATTAGTTTTATAGTAATTTTATCGTTACTACTATCTTTATAGTAGTCCCTAACGCGCGTGAATGTAACTACGATACCGATAACGAAAGTATATTGTTAAAAGTGTTTATGTGAACACACAATGTCGTAAGTATCTACGACATTTAAACTGGGTAGGTGGGCATATGATTCTAATTATAATTTTTTCATTAATCTATAACGGTCTAAATAGTACAAAAAGACGAGAGGGATCTTAATGGTAATACATAGCGAATTACTACTGGAGGCTGAATTCTTCTACTTATAATAGGTAACTTAAAGAACACGAAACATGTTTATCACACTGACAACGAAAACCACTACAAGTTGATAATCCGCTTTTACTCGACTGATATCAAACACATTACTTTTAAAACTATGCCTTTGACAAAGAATGCATTGGTTATCCATTATAATCTAGATTTTTTAATGTACACGACAGTAGCGGCGCATTAATACCGATCATAACTATTACATGTTCTGCCAACTGCCACGAAATAAAATAATTATCAATTAAATTACTAATTTAGTTCAGGAGTATTGGTTGTAATGCTGGTTTGTTTACACCTTTTACCTTAATTTTGTCTTCATTGTACTTCCACACACGATAACACAGGTCTGTGAAATTTTTTTTTTGAAAAGTTTTTTTCTTAAATTGTTAATGTTTGTCTTAATTGTCTTAAAAGTAATAGAAAACGATATTCATATGAGAAATACCCCTCGCTCTGCGCACATTAAAAACAATCCTAATTAAGGATCTAATAAAGTATTTCCTTTTACATTTAAAAAAATTGTGGTTTAAGGGAACCTACATGGGTAGCTAAACCTACAGAAAATCGTGACTTTTTCTAAAGCTATAAACTGAAAAGTTTTGGGAATCCCACATAAATTGAATTAATTTCACATTAAAAATTATTAATCGCTATTAACAATACGTCTGTTTTTCAATTATTTTAGTTTTAGTAAAGATACCGTGTTTTGAATTATCGAAGTTCTACTGTAATATTTACCTAATGCATTGTTTCGCGTAGGTATATAAATTACCTACAAGAGAAATTGAACTTTTCGATCAAAGAGTAAATCCTAAAGACGACCCTGCACTTTGAATTTTTTTATAGAATCCGCGTGAATGCCTTGTGTGTTGGAACATACCAATGCCGGATCTGCCTTTCACTGTGAAATAACTTGCCGAGTTGTACCCCTCCTTGCTCCTTACGGCAGCGATGATCCCACCCACACGTAACATAGTTACCATGTATATAGCGAAATCTAAATACAACTAGCACATTTGCAATGNCATTTTTTACAAAGTCTGTTATATTCAATCTTTGCTTAACTATTGTATATTGTCCGCAAATGTACAAAAATACATTTGAATTGTTTTTACAACTCCGAGAAGCCATAGTTAAAGATAAATGAAACACAATCTTTTATTACACGTTAATATTATATATCTCTCAATAATGGCGCGATATAAACTATTTTTTTTTTCAGGAGGTGTAAACGACTACAGTTGCTTTCAGACTATCCAAAATAAAGTAAAAGACAATATAATGCTCAGTCAGAGACTATAAAATAGAAATATAAGCTATAAATGAATTTTGTGAAAATTCAAATAAATTTGCGGATGCAGAGTTATAAATATACATACATGTACT